TGGATTATAGATGAGAGATTGACAGGTGATCTCTTCCTAGACAGCAGTTTAGTTATGAATTATAGATGGGAGATTGATGATATTGAGTGGGAGAGCTTGTATAGAAGGATTGCTTGACTGGGATTTGTCGAAGGTTCCAGAGTGACTCTATGTCCCAAAATATGTGAAGCAACTCTCTATCAGTATAGTGGATTTCAGTTTGCAATAACTGTGGATGTAGCCCTTTTACGGGTGAACTACATAAATCTTTATGCTATTATGGGTGTGTGATGTTTTATGATTTATTTTTTCTAGCTGGTTAAAGTACACGATCTTATTCTAATTCAACGTTTCAGGATTTTTTTCCCTGATCTAAGAGTTCTTGAAACCTAAAATATTGTATGAGAGCTCATGGTTCAACACAAGGGTAGGGTTTGTACATTCAATTGAAGAAAAGTAGATGGTGAAATATAAGAGTTTGTTTTAGGTAGAGAAATATGATGGTGAACATAATCTTTTTCAGCAAAAACAATAAATAGATTTATTTGGCCAAAAGAAAGGATGAAATTTTAAGGCTATTCGATAGTGTCGACACTATGAGTAAATGATTTTTTATATCAAGGTGAAGAGATAAGGTGATATCTACAAATCACCACCATACGGAAATTTCATGTTACATGGATAGGGACTGATATTGATAAATGTTTTAAATTACTTACGATATCTATTGAGGCTTCTTATTACTATAAATTTATAATATATATGTAAGGAATGAGTGGTACTGAATGAGTGCCTATTGGGTCACCATACAAGAAAAACGGCTTCATCTAGATAGAGAGGTAGGGGTCTCTTGCAATAGAGAGGCAATGCCTCCATATAGAAAGAAGTGATATTGCATAATTTGAGGGGTAGAAAAATGTTATAAAGAAAAATACGCATGCATTTTGTACCCGCAGTGGAACAATGTGGACCTGGTTAGAATCGTTGGGTACATGCTTTGGATTTAGAATCAACCGTTAGGTCCAGAAGCTAGACCTAGACGCAGGTTGATTTATCCTTACTCGATTCGTAATCCTAATCCGTTGTGTCAAGTGTTAGACTTACAATACCCTATATTAAATGCGATTTTAGGAGCATAGATTTAAAACCGTTTGTAATTGATGCATATGTAAAAGTTGCTTTTTTCTATTGAAAATTTAGCTGAATATAGATGTAAATAATTGTTTTTATTGATTTTTTAATTATTATTTTATTATTTTTTGTGGATTTCATTTGTTGTGTTTTTAAGAAAAAAGTTCATATGGATCCCCAAATTCTATATTTATTTCATAGTAACCCTTGCTAACGTTTCTCTTTGAAACAACATTAAATTTCTCCCAAAACTATCAATGTACTGGTCATGCCCTCCCGCCCCTCTTTTCTCACTTTTTTTTACGTGATATTTGACATCAACAATTTCCCTTGTACCAAATGAGGCAAGAAGCTGATGGGGAGAGGATGTCCATATGCAGTATATAAATTGTTAGTGTTAAATTTCATGTTAAAAAACGTGAGAAAAAAAAGGGAGGTAAGGGATAGGGGGTTGTACTTTAATAGTTTTACGGGAAATTTAATGGAGTAATGATCCTATGAGGCCCTCCCAAACCCATATGTATAGGACTTCAAAGGATCATCATTAAATTCGACACAGGTCTCTAGAAAACTTATCACATGGGTGTGGGACTTGATTTTTCTAGATATCTATGTCAAATTTAATGTTGATCATTTGGGGTCCTACACATATGTATGTCGGAGAGTCTCACAAGGTCATTTCCCAATTTAATGTCTCTTGAAAGAAAAAAGTTGAGAGGAGCTCTAACAAAATAATATGAAAATTGGCTGTCCATCTGATATTTTCCCTTTTATTAGTTATGTACATGTTGATTATTTTCTTTATAAAATATATATAGAAAAGAAAAAAAATTATGTCTATCTCCTACCTAAAAGATCTTAAACATAGGACCTCCAGCAGAAAGTTTCTAACACCAAATCCCTTGGTACCCTTTTTCTTTGCATCCACCTGGGGAGTGTAAGAGAAAAAGAGAAAAATACCTAAGTTGGTTTGGCCCTTGGGGAGCCAAACGGACATTGGTTTAAATTGACATTGTAAGAGAATATTACTGTAATTTTTTGATGTTCTAATAATATTTTTGAATTTCTCTCAAAAAAAAGAATGAACTGAAGTTCGTTGTGCACTTGTAGTGCTGAACCGACTTTCGGTATTGAAAAAAAGTAAATAAATCCAAGTTGATAGGACACTTCAAATATTGAATCGACTTTCATTAAAAAAAGAACGAATATCAATTCAGCATGCCATGGACTTCAACCCCGATTCAATTCTTTTCCTTCTTTACCCAATTACGGTTCAACACTCCAAGCATCCAATGAACTTCAGACATTTTTTCACTAAATTGCCTAAAAATTTACTCAAGAAAATAGCTCTAAAGGACCTGAAAAAAAAAATATGGTATGCATCCCCTATCATTTACTTCGTCTAACCACAAATGGGTTAACCAAGTTGTCCTTTATCCCTGACAGTGTTTCGAGGCTCAAAGTTGGAAATTCAGGGGTTTTAAATTAGGGTTTGAATTTTCATTCTCCAGTTTCAAAAATAAAAAAAATGATTGAGTTGAGTATTTCTTCCTTTAAATCATTTTGCCAATATTTCAGTTAGTGAACTGAAATAATAGTGTTCTCAAAATCCTAGAAATCGTGTTCAGAAATTAGATATGGGGCATTCTCTTTTGTGTACAAGGCAAGGATACCGATTTCTAAAGGAATCTGATGCAGATTACTATGATTGTAATCAACTGGAATTATAGAAAAAAATGGAATCCTGCGAAGCGCATAAATGGATGCCATGAAAAGGAAATAGAGTAAGGAAATAAATCTGTTTTACTAAATCATTACTAACGACAAGAAATGGACTCGAACAAAACCATAGAGAGCACGATAGCCCCAATTAAAGTAGCCATAGAGACCATCACACAGGAGCGGACCTTGAAAGGATCGAATGGGAATAAGAACTCTCTGGGCTGGCGAAATCAATTATTTTGCCTAAATTAATTGAAAACTGGTCTAAAGATGGTGAAATATGATTATTTCATAGAATTGATTGTTTAAAAATGCTCTGAAAACAGTCTCAAAACTCTTTCTTGAGACTAACAAATTGAAAAAATTATGCTTCTAAAACTAGAAAAATGCCGAAATTATATTTTAATATGGTTAAAAATGGGATAGTTTTTTTACATAAAAAAAAAATAGAGATATTTTAATGGGAAATGTTTCCATACTTCCCCTACAACATAGAAGATCTATGCTTCCCCTACCATCCAGCCGTCCGATTTTGATCAAGTGAGTAACTCAACGTTTGATCTTATAGATCCAATGTCTCAAAGTATTTTATTTTTAGCTTTTGTTATACAAATTGTATGAATATGAAATTTGGTACGTGCCATCTTCTCATTGGATGCACCTACATAAAATATTAAACATAATTTTTCGATAAAATATAATGACCAAAATACCTTTTGAAATTTTCAGGGGTATTTTGATCATTTTATTTTATTAGAAACATTTTTTTTTATATTTTTCATTAGTGCGAATTTAATAGAGGATTAGTCATACAAATTTTGGTGTAAAAATAGTTTGCAGAAAAAAATTAGAAATAAAATAGTGCAGAGACGTTACATTGTAATTAGGGCAATCTTAGCCCTCCAATCAAAATGGACGGTTAGATAAAGGGAAGTATATAGGTTTTATGTTGTAAGGGAAGCATAAAAAGCTTGCCCTATTTTAATATGTTAAAACATGGAGAAATTGTGTCAAGCATAGCGCGGCTTATATGTTAACTATTGCCACGATATACATTCACATGGAAATAAGAAAAGGAATACCAGGGGTAGGTAGTCAGGGTGGCGGGCCGCTACAACATGACCTCTTGAATTCCGTTCCTACTATAAATAGGGAACCCCTTCTCCAATAAACCACCACAAAAAAGGAAAAAAGATTACGGAAATGAAAACCCTACCAAACTCCCTCTATACTAAATGGTCAACAGCCTATATTGAATTTGAGCCGATTGCGCTATTAGTATTTTGTGATAGGATTTTATTTTTAACTTTTTATAGAGATTGGATTGATACAAAAGTCGGAGCATTTAAGTTTTTATCATGGCACATCAAATAAAATATTACAAAATTATTTTGGCAAGTGAAAAGTTACTAAATTACCCCAGTTGTTTTGCTGTAGTGGGTTTGTCATGGTCTAAAAATATTTTTTAGCATTCTATTTGAATCCTCCATACGGGACACAAAATTTCATATCAATCTGATTTATAAAAATAGAAAAAGCCATGAGACTTTGGATCGCCAACTTCCTATCTCAGTCGAGCATTTACTGTAATAAAGGCGAGCCGGTGTTTTCGTTATAAAAGCGGATGGTTTTGCATCGTAGGATAAGCCATTTTGAAAAGTGGAAGTTAGTTGGTTCTCAAAATTTGCACATAAGTAGATTCGAACTCGGATGTTTCAAGAACTGCATCATTCTATTGGAAACCAAACAAATACTACATTATAATTTTTCTTTTAGATACTTAGGCGCACCTTAAAAACTCACTTGAAAAGGTCAAACTGTTGCCAAAAAACCCTCCAATTGATTTTCTCGGGAAAGAAGGATTTCAATTCTTACAAATACTGCATCTTGTAATACATTATTTGAATCATCCATTTTCGAGTTTTTTAGGTATTCGTAGATTTACATTATTTTTGAAGCTTTAAATTTCATAATTAGAGATAAAAATAGAGTTTTAGACCATCACGGGGATTTGCAACCATGTAACAATATCTTTCAACTTCATTTGAAGGTGTCTTACTTGGATGTTTAATGCATCAACCTTATACAAACCTCATCCTTACTCTAATCACTACAACAAAAACTTATGTTCTTTTCTAGTTGAATAGTAATTATGTGGAACAAAAGCATAATGGAACCAAATGCAGTGAATCTCAAAGTAAACTTCAAAGGCCAGTGTCAGCATATCTATTGTGTACATAAATGGGATGGGAGGTTAGTGGAACATGTAGAAACTTATTAAAATCAAAATAAACAAAATAAAAGGCAATGTTTTACAGTAAATGAGAGAGAGAGGTATCTCCGTCACCAAGTGAGAAAGATCTTCCTCTTCTTCACCTAGCATAAAAAAATAAAAAGAAAAAGAGAAAGAGAAACCTTCCTCACTTGGCCCTGAAGTTCTTCTTGCTAATGAAGGTCTGGCCAAATTGCCAACTCGGGGGGACAACATGCCAAGAAGTGGACACCCTCTCATCACTGGTAGTGACCCTAAAAGAGAGAGACTGGCCTGTGAGGTCGATATCTGATTGCCAATTTTGACCCCAATTGCGCTTCATGTCGACCCACCCCATCTTTTTGCCCTTCACACGCATCCTCACAATGTCTCCGGCACCCCCCACGTTCCACACGAGCACCAAATTGAAGTACTGGTGTCCCGTTATAGTGAATCGCATTCCCCCCTTCTTCTTGCAAGGGACCCTGCAATCGCAACCATTGATTCATTCTATCAGAGATGAAGATAAGCTCAGATTGATGCCTATGGATGTGGTGAAATTAGAACCATGTGTTTATTAGAGATCATTGGACCAAAAAGGAAACAACAGAACGCTTGAGGTTATATTAAAAAAAACTAATTTCAGGAATAGCTTATCATATAGAACTGCTAAGCATGTTCGTATAGTGACTTGCCTGCGATAGGCCACGGGGACAATCCCGGCCTCGTACTTGGCCAAGGTGAGGAATGCCGGCATGGCGAGGTCGAAGTGGTGCCGGGGCGGGTTGCACCACCCGCCATTGTCGCTGGGTTGATCCCAATTAGGGGGGCATAGGTTTGTGGCAGTCACAACTATGGAGCGTCGCCTTCCGAGGCACCACTTGGCTTCCCCAGTGCATCTGATCTCATAGCACGACCCACACTTGAGCCCATCATTGAACATTGCACTGCTCAACGCTGCCGTTTGCAGCCCATAGCCCTGCTGGTTCAGGTCTCCATACCCACAGGCTCCCCCTGCAAGTGTCATCCACAAACCAGACATATAGGCAGATCATGTATAACTCTATACAGAAAATGGAGAAAAGCAAATAATAATCATAATAACATCCATATCACTATAATATGATCCGTATGATTGTAGAAAATCCATGGTCATATGTGTTCATGGAGGGATATTTCTATAGGACAATAACAATTATAGGGACAGGCTGGGGTTGTGGTGATGGCACCCCCTCACTTTAGTCACCACGTTGTAGTTTTCATCCCTACCACTAACACCACCCTACTAACACTTTCAAAAAGTTATTTCTTAATACTTGAAAAAATGAATAGGGGCCTGTCTTCTCTACTGAATAAACCAAAAAAATGAAAAGAATAATCTATAAAAACAAGGAAAACCTATGGTCATGAGTGCCATCGATATCCGTCTGATTGACAGAACAGCATGAACATGACATGACTCATGATGGGTCCCAATCTCTCCCCATCACCATTCATCATTGATGTGAAAGTAATGGACACTTTGTTTTATGACATATGGATCACAATATACTTGGGAAAAATATATCATTACGAGAACCACGAGCCATATCAAATTCTACTCATATAACAGCCATATCAAAAGAGGAAATGGTAACTAAAAGAAGTTATCTTTATGTCTTATAAAAAGGTCCAAACACAAGCACAACACACCGAATGTGCTGCAGATCGACTCAAACATTTGTCATCAACAATGAACGGTCGAGATGAACCATGCACCACTCAAGTGGCAAACTATCGATCCCATGAAAGTAATAATTCATCTCAACCACTCAACAACTGGTTGAGATGAAATGCAACACCCTGTCCGCGTGCCGCACCCCATTGCAAAATAGCTACTTTTATATAAAAAAAAGTCTCATACACAATCCCTTTCGACAAAATAAAAAAGAAATGTATACAATAAGAGACAATCTTACCCATTGTCCCAGAGCCATCATTTCCACCATAGAAGGTGGCGTGAGCATGCTTCCATTTCCCGCCTCTGTATTGGCCGTACTTCTTTGCATCGCCGAACAACAGAAGAGACAAGAGCAGAAGCAACAACAAGAAGGGCATCGAAAGCGCCATCGGAAGGCTTTAAGAGAAACTAAGTGGTGACAAGCATTGCTGAATGAGAGCATCTGACATTTATATGCATAATATGCGTGTGAAATTGTCTCGACAATCCACCGTATTAGAAGCCTGGAGTGATTGTTGGGAATTTGGTTGAACAGTGTCCCCTGCACCTCTCTCTTCCCTACATTTATGCCTCACTATGTGGAAACAAACACTCCAACTCCTTTAAGGCAAGGTTGTTTGTGAGAGCCTGCTGACTCACCAACGTCCACCTTTAAGACCTTGTAATAAACCCACATGCCTATATGTAGGATACGGTTTTTATGAGTCCATGTAGAAATGAGTCACCTCTTAAAAATTTAATTTATTTTTGAGATGGATTTTTGGACCTAATGACATGTAAATTGAGATCATGAATATGAAGAAATAAATAAATTTTGAAAATTAAAAATAATAATTCTATTAAAAAAACATTTGGACCATTGGTTTCAATGGTTTTTAAATGGACTACCTATTCGTATCTCTGTTTGTTTCAATTGTTTTTAGATGGACCACCTATTTGCGTCCATCTTTAAGATGGATGCTTTTATATCTCGGGGATCGTGAATATAGAAATGTGGTCCCCGCCCCATGAAACACTTTTCCAAATAAATATAGATGGTGTAGGAATATTCCTAAAAACATCACATTTTAAATGTTGAAAATTTTATTTTATATTTTATATTCATGATCATCTTCTTCTAGATCGTGAATCCCTAAAATTTTGGATTAAAACTCCAACTTTAAGATAGATTTGAGAGGGGGGACCGTGTTTCTTTCATCTCTCTTTAACAGCCGTTCTTTAATGACATTAGTAGCTATCCAAGTAAAACTAAAGTAAACAAACTTTCTTAGTCAAACAATGACATTAGTAGCTATCCAAGTAAAACTAAATTAAACAAACTTTCTTAGTCAAATGTAATCATGTTAGTGTCAATTTTGATGATCCTTTCAAAGAGAAAAATTTTGGGTTTGGACAAAAGGAGCCATCAAAACTCTACGGACAAAGGCAGATTTATATGGATCTTTTATGTTGTCATTTATGTGCAAAATGTGTAATATTTATGTGTGAAAGAGAGAGAAATGTGTGATATTTATGTGTGCGAGAGAGAGAGACGCTGTTCTTTCATGTTTAATAAATTTGTGGAAATTTAGCAATTTCATAAGGGCTCGTTTGGCTCATGGGATTCAAAATTCCATGAGTTATTTTTCCTTGAAAAGCTGGCCAATCGTGTTTGGTTCGTTTAAAATTGACATTTCTGTTGGAATTGAGATTTTCGTGGAATTCATGAATGTTCATTTTAAGCCTAAATTTTGAAAATCTCATTTCCACCAAACTAGGTGGAATTGACATTTCATGGAAATGGTCCATTTTGATGCTGAAGAACGAAAAAAAATTATTAAAATTTTACAAAGAGAAACTATATCAAATTTTAAAGCAATAAAATATATTAAAATTTTAGAGAGAGAAATTATGTCAAATTTTAGAGAAAGCGAAAGTATACGAAATTTTTTAGAGAGAGAAACTATCTTAAATTTTTAGAGAGAAAAACTATCTCAAATTTAAAATTTTAGAGAGACCTATTAAAATTTTAGAATTTTAGAAAGAGAAAATATCTTATAATTTTAAAGAGAGAAACTACATTAAATTTTAAAGAGAGGAACTACTTAAAATATGTTAGAGAGAAATATCTCAAAACATTTAGAGAGATAAATTATATCAATTTTTAAATATTAGAGAGAGAGCATATTAAAATTTTAGAGATTAGAAACTATATCAAATATTAGATAGAGAAAATACCGGAAATTTTTAGAGAGAAACTATCTCAAATTTTAAGTTTAAGAGAGAGAAAATATCTTAAAACTTTAGAGAGAGAAATTATTTTTTTAAAAAAATAAGGGAAACTATCTCAAATTATGTTTTAGAAAGAGAAAGTGTATTAAAATTAGAGAGAGAAACTGCATGAAAATTTTAGAGAGAGAAACTATCTCAGAGAGTAACTATATCAAATTTTAGAGTGAGAAAATACCTAAAATTTCTTAGAGAGAGAAACTATCTTAAAATAAAGTTTTAGATAAAGAAAGTACCTTAAATTATTTTATTTATTTTTGTCAATGAAAGTACCTTAAAATTTTAGAAAAAAAAATTACTTCATATTTTAGATAGAGAAACTACCTGAAATTGTTCAGAAAGAGAAACTATCTCAAATATTTTATAGAGAAAAACTATAGAAAATTTTAAGTTTTAGAGAGAGAAAGTATCTCAAAATTGTAGAGAGAGAAATTATATCAAATTTTAGAGAGAAAAGTATATAAGATTTTTTAGAGAGATAAACTATCTATTTTTTGGAGAGAGAAATTATCTCAAAATTTTTAGAGAGAAACTATTTCAAATTTTAAGGTTTTAAAAGGGAGTGTGTTAAAATTTTAGAGAAAATTTTAAAAAGAGAAACTATCTCAAATATTTTAGAGAGAGACAGAGAAAGGATTTGCATTTCTAAAAACATCCTTGGCAATCCAAATAGAAAATTTGCATTTCCTTGATTTCTACGAGATGCAATCCAAACAATATACACTATATTCCAAGAATGTCAATTCTAGTAAATCTCAATTTCAAGATTGACTTTTTCCATGATTGAATAATTCAGGGATCAAATGGGCCCTAAACGATAACGCATGCAGGTAAATTTGAGTGTATAATCCACTCTTCGACTGCTCGGCCCGAGTATCCCAGAGTTGGGTGTCCAAAGTTCTTAAAAAAAAATTCAAAAGGATTTATAAAAATCCATAAAAACTAAGAATTTATTTGTAATATTTTTGTATGTTTTCTATCATTTTTGGCAAAGAATGGAAAGTGTTTTGGCCATGTATACTTATTATTACATTTTCTCTTTTTTGGGATTATTTTTAAAATATTTCCTATCAAAAATTAGATTTTTCAAAATTTATTTTTTCGCTACTTTTTTAACCTCATTTAGATGTGTTTTCTTCAATTTTACTTTAAACATATTTTTCCTGTTTTTTGGGATTTTATGTATTTTTGTTTAACTTTTTTTTTGCTTCTACCGTGCTCAGCTAACCCAAGTACTCAGCTCGGGCCTGGACCAAGCACCCGGCCCGAGTCGCTCTTTCTAATACTAGTAATAAACCATTTCTTTTCTCTTGGCAAGTAAAATTAACCAGTTTTGTATCAACTACCGAAAGAAAAAAAATCCATAAATACCATGTTGCTGACAAAAATTCTACATACACAAATTGAGGTCTAATAAGCTCCTGAAACTTGCGCTCGCACTCTCTTTGGGCTGTTTTTTTTCCACAAGGTCAATAATAAAAATTATTAATATTCAAATAACAACAAATTCCAAGGTGGAGATCAATACATCAGAAACAATGAAAGACGATAAGGAACTCCCATGTTTAGCAAGCCGGTCCACCACCTCATTTGCCTGTCCGTACACGTGCAAAGGAAACGTTCACTGTAGCGCAAGCACATATGTTTAAAAAATTTAACCAAAATGAACGGAGAGACCGGTGCACCTTTTGGTTGCACCACTTACTTTTGTTTTTTTATCTTTTGGAAAGTTAAATATTTTTAAATCTTTTAAAAAGTTGAATCTTTTGGACGAAAATGTTTTAATAAGTTATGAGTACTGTATTTGATAACCTGCTAGAATGTTAAGAAAGTTTTAGGTACTATGTTTGATAACATATACATATTAACCACATAAATATAAATATATAACATAATATAATATATAATATAATATATTTTATTGATATATATTTGTATTATATAATATATAATATAATATTTATTATCAATAATATAAGATATTTATATATTATACTATATAATATAATATAATATAATATAAGATATTTGTATATTATGTATATAATTTTTATATTTTTATAATTGTGGCGGTCCTCTTATTTGAACTGTGAGAATAAACTGACTAAGTCGTGCCGTCGTAAGGGGGGCACGGCACAGGGCCAAGAATGTATGAGTTAT